AATTTCAATATACTTCTTCCAGCTTTCTTTGTTCTTTTTTATATCAGTTACTATCCATTGGCATCATTTATCTCCATTGGCATCTTTTAGCATACCAGTTTGGGGTTGTATTTTCCTTTTGAATTAAGGGATCTTTTGGAAAACTTTTCCTTGCTTTTTCTTGTCTCTGTCCATTTCTGTTACATATATTGTTATAATATTGCTTGTCCCTTCTAACAGTTGTCCGGAATTTGTTATGTTCTTCCTGAGTTTTGTATCTGGTTTTTTCTCTTGGCAGTTTCTGCTATTTGTTCTGACATCCAGTATAGTTTCTCCTATTTCATGATTTTTGACAGTCTCTTTTCACATTCATCCTTAACAACTTCCCTCTAGTGCCTATCAATGAGGTACAAAACTTCAAAGCAATTCTGATGTTCTTGAAAATGGTGAGTATATGCTGAAGACTGTATTGTGGAAACTGGTAAATTTTCTTCCACTTTAGCTTGATTTGAAACTTGCATATGAGCTGCTTGTTATCAGTTTCATAGACATCCTGACCATGATTTTGCTATTCTCACTCGGCTTTTCCAACATTTTGCACTACTAACTTAGTCAAATTGATTTCTAGGTACTTCATCTGATAATGTCTATGTAAACAGGCATTGTTTTGATTGTTGGAAAAATGTGCTAGCCTGAAGATGTTAATTAGATAGGCACAAATATTGTGTTTTTCTAGTTAATTTTAGTTTTTTAAACTATACAGTCCTACTGTATTTGGTTTTCCTCCTTAATTGTGGGAAAACTGATTGGCTTTGTTGTTGCCTAATTGTCCCTAAAATAAATGAAATGTATACAAACTGCTTAGTTTCTAGTTTGGCACTCAGGTGAACTTAAAAACCTCATTATGAACTCTTCATAATTTTTAATGGGCTATAGTTATTTATTTGCCTTTGCTGATTTTTTTAAAAAAAGAATTCCAAGACAAATCAATATTGCTCATAACACTTTTTAATGAGCAAAGTTAGATACTTCTGTGCATTCTAATACGAAATTACTTCAATATTTTGTGTTTATTTTTAAAGATTTATGTTACTTACACCTCCGCTTTTGCCATTCAGTTGAATAGTTCACCATTTACTTAGCAGTTGCAATATAGACAAGAGTTATTCATTTATATTTATTGGAATATGAAGAGTTTTCATTTTGTTTAATCTTACGTTCTACTTTATCCACCATGAAACTGAATGCCACATAATTACAGGTAATCTTTGACTTACAACTGTTCATTCAGTGACTGTTTATAAAAGTATGATGGCGTTAAAAGGACAACCTCCTCTCTGAACTTATACTACTGCAGCATCATGTAGTTGCGATCTGAGTTTTTGTAATCCATTTAAGATTGCCAAACTTTCCGCGATTATGTGATTGCCATTTGTAATCTTCCATCACAGCTTCCTCAGAAAGTCAACAGGGAAGCTGGCAGGGTAGGTTGCTACCACAGGACTCACTCTGGCTCCTGGGGGGTGAGGTGACTGAAAAAGGTCCATCTGTACCCATTTTGGGGCAGCCCATTTCCATTCTCCAATGGAAATAGAAGATTGATTTTGCTTCCAGCAAGGTGGAGCCTCTCAGCAAAGCAGTTCTGCTCTCAGAAGCTGGCTGGAAAGATCCATGGCAAAAACCAAGAGGGGTTTTAGTCCAAGGTGGTTGCAGCATGGAGCTCTTAAGAGCCAGGCTGGCTCCCAACAGTTCATGCTTCAAGACCCTCCCATGAAAATCTCACTTTAACCATGGACTTTGCCTATCGGGTGGATTTCACTTAGTGCAGGACAGAGTCCCTTTGTGAAGCTCTGTTACTCGCAAAGATGGTTGGAAAGAGCCCTTCTCCCCTTTCAAAAAGAACACATTTGCTGGCTTTCTAGCCAGAAGGCCAGCAAATTCAGTGTTTCTAAATGCTGGCTGGGAGAGCCAGGATAGCAGTTGTTCAGCAAAGCAGTCACATAGTTGCGTCACTCAACAACTATCATGACTTGCGACTATAATTGGTGGTCTCCATTACAGTTGTACATCAGGGATTATATACTGAATGACATACTCTCTTAGCAATTGATTTTGATTAGCTTTATAAATTGCAATCTACATTTAACAAAAGATGTTCTAAGATCAAGCTTGATACCAATTTTGTTGTCACATGTATTTCTGTATTCATGTTATTTTAACTAATAATGTAGATACTGGCTTTATTCCCAATAATATATCCTACCTTAGAATGTTTCCTGTATCTGTAGAATTTTCAAGGTGGAGTGATTTAAATCAGCTAAATTACTTAACAAAACTGTGTAAGATTTTTAATCACGCATTACTAAAAATAGCTCCCATCTATGTACTACTATTTTAAATATCGAATTAGCATCATTGTTCAACATTTGAAATCCCATTTTTTATTTCTCCTGCATCCTAACATTCAAGCATCAAGAATCAGAGCACTACACATTTTGTGTGCCTGATGATGTTTAAAAAGACATTTGGTACATTAACTGAGGTGGCTGTCGTTTTCATTAGTGCTGATAAACTCATTCTATCACTTGTTTTTGTTTCCTGACAGACAAAAGGATTGGTTAACTATATCTCAGTTACTAAATCTTCTTCTTAATAGCCAACACCCATTCCTAATCTGATTATTTCTAACCATCTCATAAAATCATGCAGCCTTATAGCCAGTATACAAAATATTATTTTGGTTGCAGATTTGTGATTACCTGCTAAGTGCCATTTACCAGCTTATTCTTGATAGGATTATGCTTGAACCTTAGATTAAGATTAAAAGGTTCTTGATAGAGTATACTTATTACTTGGGAGTATAGGTATATGTCCCTACCTCCCTTGATTTTGGTTACATAAGCTTCAAGTGACTCAGAATGCCCTAATTAACATGGAGGAAATCTGCTATTTGCTTAGATATTTTGGTTCAGAAGCTTTATTAATTAATATCAACAGAAGGTACTTGTTACATGTGCACAAAGGTGCAACACTGCTATTTTAGACATGAGAACTAAGATTCTTTGACTGTGGAACCACTTGACTGTGTTATTAATGCTATAAACACAAATCAACCATGCAAAGCCACTTTTAATTGGTCACAATCATGTTGAGCCAGTCTCCACTGAATATCATTTTTTGGTAGAAATGCTTAGTATAAATTAAATAGCTTAAACCATCTTTTTTAGATTTAGTACTAGGTACTACCAGTAGAAATGGTACTAGAAGCAGTACTAGTATCTGGCCAGAAAAAATACTCAATATTTTGGTGTCTTATGTAGTCAAAACATACATTTAATTTTTTTAGGCTTGAAAACCAAAGAAGGCTCCCAGTTTTTAATTATCTGTGTAATGATTAAGCAAAATAAATAATCTGAAAGATTAATTTACATTCTCATGTGGAGCTACTATGATTCCATATTGGTTAGCACAATTTATTTTCTATCGCTTTAAAGTTATATCCAATATTCATTGCTATGTTCACAGCTATGCTGTGTAAAAGCTTAAAACTTTCAGAGTTGCTACTTTTAGGTCCTAATTACAAGCTTTAGGGGATTTTTTTATGTATTGTCTTTGAAATTTGTACTATGTTCAAACTAGTAAAATCCATATTCCTCAAATCAAATTATTTTGTTAATGTATTTCAGGGTTAACTTGATGCTGTGCTTAAATTTTAATTTGATAGTCTGTATTTTTTCATCAGTGTAATTGAATTATATAAATCTGAAGTAACTTGTAAGAGAAATGTGTACAAATAAAATCTATTGCTTATGTGAGATTACCCAAATGTGGAAAAGACTTAATGAGGGGGGAGAGGTATTGCATCAGAGTCTAAGGAAAGTTACTTCAGCTTGTGTGTGGGTGCACAGATAAACCTTTCAGCAACTCCCTAAACCAAAAGTTGTTGACTTTTCTATGAATTATTAGTAATGTGCATTCCCAAGAAATTAAGGTTGGTGTGGCAGGTGGGAGTTACATATCAGGTTTATCGTTTTAAGAAGTTGCCAATGGGCACTACTTTGCATTGTTTAATCCTTTATATAGCAAGTTGGGGAACTGCACATAACTACAGAACATGCTCGTGGCTTACTGAGCCACAGTGGCACAGTGGTTAGAGTGCAGTTCTGCAGGCTACTTCTGCTGATCACTGGCTGCCAGCAGTTTGGCAGATCGAATCTCACCAGGCTCAATGTTGACTCAGTCTTTCATCCTTCCGAAGTGGGTAAAATGAGGACCCAGATTGTTGGGGGCAATATGCCAACTCTGTAAAACACTTAAGAGAGAGCTGTAAAGGCACTATGAAGCAGTATGTAAGTCTAAGTGCTATTACATACCAGATGTTATGGAGAATACTCTTTTAACGAAAACTTGACTTCACCCATTCGTTCTTTGTGAGATACATGTTTCTAATGTTCTTATTTTGCTGAAAAACACCCTTCTCTATCAAAAATCGACCATGAGCAACATTAAGAGTTCCAGCCAACTCATTAAAAGGATTCTACAATGAAGTTGGTTTGGCAAGTGGGAGATGCATATCAGGTTTATTGTTTCCCTAAAGTGATCTTATTTAATGTTCCTCTATGAAGAATACTATTCTAATCAAGTCTCCCAGATAGTTTTCCATGTGTATGAAAATCAACTAGTTAGAAACAAAGCTGTTCCATAGTTTACCACCCTTTCTTCCAAAACACTATTTATTCTAGGATTTATTTGCATGTTGCCTCATTCTTCAAATGTTAATTTCCAAATTGTAATTTTAAAGTTTGTAGCTTTTGATATTAAATGATTAAAAAGATGTACAAATAGCACCCCTGACCTCAACCGGTGAGAGCGTTCCCAACTTCTGAAAATTGCAATTTAAGTATGGCAAATACACACTTTACTGAGTGAAACTGGAAAACAAGTAGTCCAAACATATTGTCCCCAAAACCATCTAATACGGTTTACATTTGTAGTAAAAGGGACAAAGACTCATCCATCTGTACCTGTTTGACACCATCATCCTGAATTTTTATTTGAAATTCCTCACGTATGATACCATAAGCCTTCATACAACTAATCCAAAACCAGTGTTACTGGAATTTGCCTCCAAACCCACTGGGTATGTCTTAACACATAGTAATGCAAAATTCACACACAAAAGTCCTTTCTCTCTGTAGACTTTGGTGGCTCTCTTCTACAGCAACAAAGTATTTCCACAGCTATTTTTGGAGGTGTCACTAAGTTTTTTCAAGACAAAGCAGGAAAATCCTCAGGGTCATCTGGGTTTGGAGCAGCAGTATGCATCTAAAAGCAAAAGCAAAAATTAGATAAGAGCTACATATCTGTTTACTAAGTTTGACTTTGTTTATTAAATTGCTGCAATAGTCCAAGTACTATTTACTGTTTATACTTAGGTTTATCCTAAATGTTTAAAACTATATTAGAATTTGTCAAAAACAAAAGGAAAAAAAATACAATCACAGGGATAGGCACATTAGTACATTTATGCATGCCCCCCTCTACTGACCACTTAAATATGAAGTAAGGTGCACGGAAGTCAATTTGTGACTGAAACTGTGAACATTTGTAGCTGAGACAACTGAATCAGGTAGAGCATTCCAGATTTTGACAACTCTATTACAGAAATAATACTTTTTACAGTCAAGCTTAGAACAATTTACATTGAATTTAAAGTGGTTGGTTGTACAGAAAAAGTATTTACAGGTAAAGCATTACTATGTATAATTTTGTGTGCAATACCTAGTTCTGACTGCAAGCAACGCAGTTCTAAGTTATCCAAACCGAGAATTTCGAGCCTCGTAGGATAGGGAAATCTATTGTGTACAGAAGAGTGCAAGACTTTTCTCATGAAATACTTCTGAACCCGCTTGATTGTACTGATGTCAGATATATGGTGGGGATTCCAAAGAGTTGAACAATACCCTAAGATTGGTCTAGCATAAGTTTTATAATCTCTAATTAGCAATACAATGTTTCCAGAAGAAAAGCTTTGCAAAATTAAATTTACAACTCTTCATGCTTTTTTAGCAATGCTGTTACAGTGAACTTCTGGAGCATAGGTCACCAGAAATAAGTACACCTAGGTCCCTTTAAGTTTTTGCTTTTAAGTTGTTCACATGAATCGTTGATAGAGAGCAAGAAAAGTGTGGGACCTAAAACGCTACCTTGCAGAACACCACTGTTAACTGATGCAGGATTAGACTGACTTCCCTATTTTGACTTTCTGCAGTCTGTTAGACAGGAAAGCAGCCATCCACTTGTGCAAAGGTCCAGAAATGCCATAAGAGTTGATTTCAACAGTTTATCATGTATTACTATACCAAAAGCCTTAAAAAAATCTTATGTAAATTGCATCTACCTTGATCAAGTCATGTAGTCCACATGTTTTTACAGTGCACAAGTTGTAAATTACAGGATGTGTTCTTCCTAAAGCCAAACTGTTTGTCGGATAGCAAGTTGTTTGTCTCTCAGTGGTGAACGATGGATTGGTTTATAATTGATTCCATAACTTTGCATGTAACACAGCACAGAGAGATTGGTCTATAACTTTCAACTGAATTAGGGTCACCCTTTTAAAAGATTGGTATAATTATAATTGATGACCATAGATCAGACAGAGAACTAGTTTGAAACAATACCTCAATAACAATTGTACACAAAGATTCAGCTAGGACGGTAGCAAGCTTTTTCAGGAACTTTTATATATTTGATTAATATTAAGGGTTTTTTTTTCTTAGCTTTATTTATTTAATCCAAGCATTTGAAAAATCAGGGACTCAGAAATTATATTCAATGGATCAAAGTAATTTCATGAGTAGGAGTAGGTTCTGAAGAAATATTTTTTTAAATGCTGATTTTTGGTACATCTACAAATCCTGTGATTTCTGTTGCCTTCTTTTGCCCAAAGACAATGCAATTTTGATTAGGCAGCTGTATAAATTGAATTACAGCAATGAAGTAGTCAGAGATTAGAATTAGCACATAGTAATTACCATCACTCCTGGCCTTGGCCATGAGTTTTCAACTCTTCGGACACGCCCTCGCCCTCCTCGTGCTCCTCTGGCTCCTCTTCCAGGACGAGGCAGATTCCCAAAGTTAATGTCTAGTTGAGAAGTGATGTCATTTGCTGCTTTTCGGGAAAAGTGAGAATCATCCTCAAAATCTTCCTTCAGCACCTATAAAAAAAATGCATCCACGTTTTTTATGGTTAAAACTAATACATCTTCAACTAGAAACAGTGCATCAAGAGCCAAATGACATTCTTAAGTTTAAAAAAAATGCCCTGTAAAAATAAAGGACACTACAGCGACATTCTAAATTCTAAAAAGGATAGAACTCCCCAGAGAAACTGGGCTCCTTCTATGACTCATGTCACAATAGAGTGAACACAAAAACCAGTTTCAAGAGATGGCGATTCTCCACTGACTTTCTTTAAAAAAAAAAAAGCTCCTCTTGGTAAGCTAAGAAAGCAGCTACTAGTACATGTCTACCCATTACTCTCATGAGTTGACTTTAAAGCACTTAAACACAACTACCAGCAAAACTTGAAAAATATGGATATTTCTCCAGTAACCTTGCGAATACTTCATGTAAGTACAGTATAAGTGTATGGAAAACATATCTAGAGGATTCTTCACAAAGAAGTGGGAAAGAGGCTCAATTCATTCTAGCATTTATGGAATCATGCTACATAAATGCAGCTCTGTGCAGTTAATATATGCACACAGCTTTATTCTTTCATGTGAACATAAGACAATCTGAGTGAAATTCATTGTTTGTTCTCCCTTTCTCTGCTGAACATTCAGCTAAATGAAAGATACTTAGCAGTAGACTGTAAACTAGAAACTTAAACTGAACAAGTAATCTTGGAAGAACCACAAATTAGAAAATCAGCCATTTTTTCTTCTTATTGCTATAAATGAATTACGGGGAAAAAACATTAAGACTGTTTCTGATATTTTTTCTAAATGGTTTGGTTTATTAGATTTATATGCCGCCCTTCTCCCAAGGACTCAGGGCGGCATACAACATTAAAAAAAACACATAATACAAAAGTTAAAAAAAATTAAATAGAATATCCCAAACAAACCCAATTAGAATTAACAATAATATTTTAAAAAAAATTCAAATTAAAATTAACAGTGATCAATCATTTATTTTATTCTGTTCAGGCCAGGCTGGCTTGCTGGAAAAGCC